CTAATCAGGGATGTCTAACCTGCAGCCAGCAGGCTGCATTCGGCTCAGGATGACTATGAATGCAGCCCAACACAAAACTATAAATTTACTTAAAACATCATGAGATTTTTTTTGTGATTATGTGTCACAATGTATTTAACGCATGGCCCAAAACAACTCTTCTTCCACTGTGGCTCAGAGACACCAAAAGGCTGGACACTCCTGAGAGGGAATAATTTAAGCCTAATAGTAGTTGCCACGAGTATAAAACTGTGACTTTTAAATAGAATTCTTTTGCCTTTTTCAAGGTTTCTATGTCTATGTATTACTTTTATACTAGGAAAAAATTAAAACAAACTTTTAAAACAAAAAAATCCCTGTATTTTAGATGTAAAATTAAGATTCACTGTGCTAGTAAATATAGCTATAAATCAGATTTTTATTTACATAATTTATAGTTTCAAAATTAAAATATTTATCTACTACTCCCTTTCTTATATATACTTAAGGTATCTAGGGGAAAGGTTCTGGGGGTGGAAGAGGAAGGAAATGACAGCAAAACCTGTCAACAAACTCAGGAATTCCTTTTTAATATTCCTTTGAGCACTCCTTTTAACATTCCTTCATTTTAGAAAACATAGACTGTTCCCCTGAAGCATATTTTAAAATGATTTTATTTTTGAAATACCTATTGTTTGAAATTATCTGTTCAGTTCTTCCCATGATAGTTAATCCTTCATTATCACTTCCACAGTTCCTGAACCAAGCAGGATTTCCATTTACATATTTCCAAAGGGGATGATTATGTAGTGGTAAGGCTGCTTCAAATAATTGTTTTCATCAATATTTTTCAAGGATTTGTCACTCTCCTTTCCAAAAAGAAACCTTCCATTCACAAAAATCATACACGCTTATTAATGGTACACCCCCCCCTTCACTGTAGTGAGATTTATCTCACACACATAGTAAACCAATAATAATAATTTAGCAAATGTATTCTTCTAAGTACTCTGTTCATACTATTTGGTAATCTCATTCAATCATGAACAACTTTCTAGCTAATTAAATATAATTACATTAATTAGAATACCTGAACAGTACTCCATTTAACATGTTATTTAATCTGCCCTTTGTTAGACACTTCATAAACTCTTCGTATCTTTTAATATTATAAACACTATAATAAACACATGAACTACTTCTTAGAGTATGTTTTAATTGCCTTTACAATATCAAACAATTGAAATAGGTAACTCATTCTTTTAATGTGCTAAAATGTGTTATGGCCAGTTCACACTCTATGATATAGTTTTTCATGTCATAGAAAAAATCAACTGTCTCACTTGTCAGCATAAAATTACTTGAACTTTGGACTTATATTTAGGCTTGTTTTTTGAAGTTCTGGATGTCTTAGTCCACCTCATCTTTCTTCATTTTGTTTCTTTTTCAAAAAATATTTATTTATTTTTAGACAGAGGGGAAGGGAGAGAAAGAGGAAGAGAAACATCAATGTGTGGTTGCCTTTCACACACCTCTACCTGGGAACCCAGCCTACAACCTAGTCACGTGCCCCTACTGGGAAATGAACCAGTGACTCTTTGGTTCACAGTCCAGTGCTCAGTCCACTGAGCCACACCAACCAGGGCTTCATTATGTTTCTTGAATTTAAAATTTTTGTTCCTATTGCTAATACATTTTAAAGGTTAATATGTATGAATAAATGAGGTACAATTACAGGAATGTTATGTTCCTCAGGAGAGCAAGAAGAACATAGTATGAACAATTTATATTCCAATTTTCTTTCTTTTTTTTTTTTAAGATTTTATTTATTTATTTTTAGAGTGGGAAGGGAGGGAGATAGAGAGAGAGAGAGAAACATCAATGTGCGGTTGCTAGGGGTTATAGCCTGCAACCCAGGCATGTACCCTGACTGGGAATCGAACCTGTGACACTTTGGTTCGCAGCCTGCACTCACTCCACTGAGCTACGTATATTCCAATTTTCAACCTGAAATATAAATTGTTCATACTATGGGAAGGAGGTATCATGCCAGACTGTTACAAAGTCAGGAAACAGGACACACTAGAGGTTTGGCCTGATTTTTCAAAATGTACAGACATTACTTGGGGGAGAAGTGGGATACTGAAATGTCATAAATGAAGGCAGAGATAGAAAAACAGATATATCAGGACTAGTTCACTTGAAGAAAAATGGAAAACTTTAGAAAAGAAGGTTGGGGCAAGATTATGAGGCACAACCTAAGGAGTTTGAATTTTATCCAATAAAAAGCAGTATTGTAGGAAGGTTAAATTAGTGGGATATTCTGTAGCAGAGGAAGCAATTACAGGCAAAGAATTCTTTACCTAACAGCCTTGGCTGGTGTACCTCAGTGGATTAAGTGCAGATCTTGCAAGTCAAGGGGTTGCCAGTTCGATTCCCAGCTGGGGCACGTGCCTGGGTTGTGGGCCAGGTTCCCAGAGGGGGATGCATGGGAGGCAACCACACATTGATTCTTCTCTTCCTCTCTTCCCCCCCCTTCCCTTCTCTCTAAAAATAAATAAAAATCTTAAAAAAACAAAAAAAGAATTCCTTAATTAAGATGATACAGAATAAAGATTAATAAAAAAAAGAAAACATTTTCTTTTTAAATCAGATATCAGATTTTAAAGAATGATAATGCATTGACAACTTAAATCAATTCAAGATGTGTTTTTCATGTTCTTAATAAAAAGTCCAAAAATTAAAAAAAAAAAGAGTAAGAAAGAAATAATGAAGTTCTTAACTACGGCACCAATTCCAAGAATAGAGGTGTCAAAGACAATGTTTGAGTAAATGACAAACATGAACAATTTCTGAATGTTCCTTGGAACCAGTAGCTTTGACTAAACTGATCAAATGGAAAACTATTTCAGAGCCATCAAAGCACAAATTGCAAAAACCTGATCATCACATATATTAACCAACCATTCAAACAGTATTTATGTTCTAAATGGTCCAATTCATAAAAATACTCTGTTCTATTTACAAAGGTCAAATAGGCTTAGGCACAAACAACTGTATAAAAAATTAAATCTGTAGATTAACCTAAAACCTTAAACAGCAATAAGATCTGGCCCCTATGAACTCTTCGATCCTATAAGCTACCATTCTCCCTCTGTGTAATTTGATCATAGCCACCCAGATCTCCTTGCAGGTTCTTTTACACACCAAAAATGCTTCAGTTTCAATGTCTTTGCAGTTGTTATATCATCTACCTGAAAGGCTCTTCTCCCAGCATTATCTAATGTTTTGCTCCTTTACTGTTTAGATCTTTGTTCAAATGTCATCTCTGAGGCATTTTTCCATCATACTATTTAATTTAAAAACATCTTTCTCCTGCCTTCCAAACTACTTTATACCATCCCTTGGTTTATATTTTGAAACAAAATTTATTATCACCTTCTGACATGCTACATAAGTTACCTATAAGTTTTGTCTATTCTGTTACCCACAACTCACTCCCAAGACTGTAAGCTCCATGAGGGTTGCAATTTATGTTTTGTTCACTGCTGATCCTCAGCACCTACACAGGATAAATAAATTTGTACCTTTCTTTTTATAAGTAAATGCTGCAAATCTATTTGTAATGCTCCTATCTGACATTAGCATTTTCACACTGCCAGACAATACATTCATGAAAATATAAACAAATATAAAAGCCTACACAGACTATGTAAAAACTTACAAATTTCTTAAGAAATGATGTACTTAAACTTTCTCAACATACACTACCAAACAACAAATACTCTACACCTTCACTGTTTCAGGCTAAAGTGGTATTTTAAAATGTTCACATGGAAACTTCTATCATATGCATTAAGCCCAGAAAAAAAGAGTTTAGTGGTACTATATAAACTTATATCCTTGAAAATGTTATTTCTATAGGAATAAGCGTTCTTAAAGATTATAAAATAATAATAAATGGAAGGAAGCAAACTCTGGGGTGAATAAATATTTCTACCACTTTCTAGAGATATTCTTTAATAGAATCATCTGCCCTGGCTGGTGTAGCTCAGGGGATTGAGTGCCGGGCTTTGAATGGAAAGGTTACGGGTTTGATTCCTAGTCAGGGCACATGCCTGGGTTGTGGGCCAGGTGGCCAGGTAGGGGCATGTGAAAGGCAAATGATCGATGTACCTCACGCATCCGTTTCGCTTCCTCTTGTTCTCTCTCCCTTCCCCTCTAAAAATAAATAAATAAAATCTTTGAAAAAAATCTATGCTAGTGGTTAAGTTATAAAACAAAGACATATGAAGTATCTTTAATAACAACTTAATTAATTTGAGGAACATTAATATAGAAGTAGCTTAAAATTTTTTTCCTCAGCACAATTTCTAAAAAAAATCTATCCCTCTAGCATAAGATAAATATAAACAGTAACAAAATTATCGAGGCAGTTTATATTTTTTTCCATACACAAAAGTCAAATAATAAGAAAACAATAAATATCGGATTATTCAAACAATGAATTGAGGGGACGTCTGCTTATTAAAATACTAACCTAAGTGTATTACTCATGAACATTTTTGCATAAATGACATTATTAATAATCAAGAAATAGACCAAAAGAGAAATTATAAATATTGAATTTAATTTCAGTATATTTAAGGCCAAAAAAAAAAAGAAAGCCCAGCAACTAACTTGTCACCTTGTATAGTAATTTTAACAGAAATAGTTTAAACTTATTTATTTTGCCAACATTTTCTTCAGTGCATATGTCCTTAAAAAAAGACATCAGAAATCCAAGAGATATGTTTTATAGATAAACAAGGTAAGAACATAAACTTATAAATTTTCTGGTAGAGGAGTTAATTCTGCACTAAAGGGGCTCAAGTTATTAACAACAAAACAGAACCTGTTTTATTATTGTAAACTGTAAAATTCCCTAAGAGGAAAGAAAAACAAGTTTTAGCTGGAAATGTACAGATGATGGTCTATTATTTCTTCTCCCGGATATGCAAGTAGTATTTCTAAATACTTACTAGTGCCAAATCTATCTCAAACCTTTAGGACATTATTTTTTCTCCCTTTTGTTAATTTTCAATGAGAAACAACACTTAGAATAAAATTTTTTCCATGAATAAGGGATAGTAATATCCACCTGCAAAAGAAAAAAGAAATTGAATTAGAATGTCAACTTCCAAATAAACACATCAACTTAGAGATCACAGTTTATAAAAATATAATCTTGCTAATCCAATTATGACCTGGGTTTTTATTGATAATGATACTTAAGTAGCTTAAAACACCTCTAATTCTATAACAACTAAAGAATATATAAATGAAGAAAATCTTTACTATTAAATATGGAATTTAGCCTATGGCCAAATTTTCAGATCTACTATAACATATCAACATGTGTGATCTTAAGAGATTTGGATTTGAATATAGGATACAAAGAGAATTGTTGAATAAAATATCTGTCTCCTGGACACTTGCCTGTAGTCCTCTGGGTTATTGTCAATTCAATCTGTACTCAAATAACAGATTTAGGATGCTCAATATAGGAATTATTTAATATCAATATAAAAAGAAACCTGAATAAAAAAGATTAGAATTTTCCCCCCAAAATGGAAAAAATGAAAATAATAGCCATATATAACTATTTTTCCCTTGCAAAATAAATAGCCAAATTAAGGTCCACATTTTATTTTACTATTTGTTATATTTCAAAATTACATAAAGATGAAAGTATATTAACTTTTCAAATAAAACTTCAGTCCTGTTGAGTTACCTAATGTGTTTCATCAAGTATTGATAGGCCATTTCCTCTTTTCTAATAAAAGACTGTAAAGAAGCTGCATTCTGTTACAATAAATTTAAATGCAATATTTTACTCTCACAGTATTTCAATTTTTCTTTAATCTATTCTCAGGATTAAGACACAAGAAAGTTTTCTTTTAGCTATAATAGCATCCAATGGTCCTTCTTCACACCCGAAGCATATAAAGATTCACCTAGTAAATGTAAAATCCAAGTTTTTCCTGTCATTTAGAAGGCAGAGTAGACTGATTTTAATTTCCAAAAATTTGACTTCAAATACATTTAGACAAACAAAAATAAAGTAAAAAATGGTATCTAATTCCTGGGTTGTTCTGGAAAATATTGGAGAAGCTATTAATATGCCATTCATTCATTCACTACTGTGTTTTTTGGATTATAAGACACACACCCCCATTTGGGAGGAATAATGGTTGTTAATGCTGATGTTGAGTTCTGTTTACATTTACATTGGTGAAATGTTATGTTATGTATGTTATTAAATATTTTACCTTTTTCCTTCAAAAATTTTTTTCCTATTTTCCTCCTCTAAACCCTAGGTGAGTCTTATGGTCCGAAAAATACGGTATTTCTAAGCATCTATGTGTTAGACCTCAGAATATTTTTAGTGAAACCACACACTATCATATATTTGTTATACTATCATATATTTTTCATAAAATGGTTGAGATGAAATAAAGGAAACACGGTAAGAGCTTAAGGAATGATTTCTAAAAGCACTAAGCAAATATTTCCATGTAAAAGCTGGCATTTAATTCTAACAAAAAGGTATATTACTTCTTCATTTTGGAAATTTTGCTGAAAAAACTGTGAGACTGTTCTAAAAAGATGAGAACTTTGTCTTACATATTTTCTTTCCCTTCAAATTATAATTTAAACATAAGATCCTTGAATACAATTCTTTAAATTACATCTGATATACTTTTAGGGTTTCCAAAACTGACAATTGTAACTGGAAATGATTCCTTAAGAACTGCTTTTAATTTGTAGATTTTCCTGTTTGCTTATACAGAAAAGGGTAAATATTCCTGACAGGAAATAAGACCAGAAAAATAATGGCACACTACACAAATACACCCGTCTTATTCTGAACATCATTTTTTAATTGAATGACTTAACAAAACACCAACAAATAAGAAATCAAAGATAAAGAAAACATTTTCAAGGGTGAAAACTGTACTTGAACAAAGATTAAAATAAAAAAATAAAAATTAATAAAAAAAGAAAAAAAACATTTTCCTTCATATTCTAATTAAAATTTTTGACTGTGCTTGCATCTATGAATTTAATAACTACAGTAATTTTTGGCCTTACTCTGAAGTTAAATGTTAGGTTATAAAAAAGCAAACAAGGCCTTTATATTTTCAACTTGCAAAAAATAATCTTTGGCTAAGAATTTTTTAAAATTTTAATAAAAACAAGAAAAACATGACAGCATCAAGTTAGAAGACACAGGATTGAGATACTAATTTGTCATATGTAGTAATTACTTAATTTGAGCTTCTGTTTCCTAAGTTACCCAAGGAATAGGTTGATCATCTGTTACAAATTTTCCTACCTTTAAAATTATGATTAAGTGTACTCTGAGACACAGGATTTCAGGAATTTTTAAAAAAGATTTTATTTATTTATTTTTTACAGAGGGGAAGGGAGGGAGAGAGGGAGAGAAACATCAGTGTGTGTTTGCCTCTCGCGTGCCCCCTACTGGGGACCAGGCCTACAACCTAGGCAAGTGCCCTGACTGGGAATCCAACAGATGGGAAACCCAGTCCACTGAGCTACACCAGCTAGGGTGGGATTTCAGGAATTTAATTCACATGTTTCAGTACTTTCCCCCCACTTCCCTTGTAAGGAAATATTTAGTAACACTATTAAAGTTCTATCATATATATATATATATAATATATACTCTATGAGTATATATTATATATACTCTATGAGCATGTATATACTCTGCATAGAGTATATACAATTGGATAGAGTATATTGGATTGGATGTGTGTGTGTGTATTTTTTTTAAGATATTATTTTTTAGAGAGGGAGAGGGAAAGAAGCATCAATGTGTGGTTGCCTCTGGCATGCCCCCTACAGGGGACCTGGCCCAAAACCCAGGCATGTGCCCCACCCCAGTAATAGAACAAGTGACCCTGATTCGCAGGCCAGCACTCAATCCACTGAGCCATACCAGCTGGGGTCCAAAATATATATTTTATAATGTACATTTAACTGTGAGATAATGCAAATATCTTTACAGTAATTTCATTTTACTAGAGAAACAAAGGGAACATGAATATTTCTGTTAATCATGACTAAAAATCTAATTATTTACATTGAGTATAAAGGTCATCTTTCAATAAACTCTGGCATTCAACAATTATTAAATTGCAATTATGCTTTTTTAAAGATTGTATTTATTTATAGAGAGAGGGGAAGGGAGGGAGAAAGGGAGAGAAATACAAAATGTGTGGCTGCCTCTCATGTACCTCCCACTGGGGACCTGGTCCACAGCCTAGGTATGTGCCCTGACTGGGAATCAAACCGGTGACTCCTTGGTTCTCAGGCTGGCACTCAATCCACTGAGCCACACCAGCTGGGGCACAATTATACTATTTTAATATACACAATACATCTGAAAAGTGAGTACTTGTTTTTAAAGAATCTTACTAAACAAGGTTATCAACAGTAATGAAAATACATTATCAATAAAACAGAAAGTACATTAGTAATATTAATACATATTAAAATGACTGTAGAACGTGGCCAACCTTACTTCAGCAGCACAGTTAATACTGGAGATAATTTTAGAATCTTAACGCCAATATTTACGTGCTGCTAAGGCACTGTTGACATCACTATCATACAAGCTATGAATGAAAAGAAATGCAGTATCTTCAGAAGATTAGACCCTTGTATTTTTGAGGCAGCACAATATGGCCTGCACCTTTTCAAAACCCACAAACCATTATGTGCTGCTACTTTACTCCAAGGTTTTAGTTTTATAAACACATTATCACCTAAAGATACAAAAATTTTCCTTTTAGAAAAAAAATTGGATAAATCCTTTTAAAAAAAACCCATCTTTAAAGATTCTAATGACATAGTATGCAATTAGTTGTTTCTCAGAAGTTTTTAAGTAACCTAATAATTTATTTCTACATCAAAAATTGAATAAAAGCCTACTATGTATCAAGCACATTGCTACAGGGTAGGAACTCAAAAATACATAATATGAGGAAAAGAGGAGCACTTTTACCATGTGTCAACTTAGTAAGTCAATAGTTAAATATTTAATGAAACTTCTGAATGTATTAAATATATTATTTTTCCTCTTATAAAAAGAAAATTCATAAAATTTGTTCTTTACCTTGATAAGATAATAAATTACAAACAGCATTTTATTACTTAAAGTACAGCTTTCAAAAGACATCTTCATTAGGTAGGTAACTCAACAATTAGTCTTTATGCCAAGGGAAAAATTAAAAAAGAACATGCAACAGCTCAGTTTCAATAAACTTAAGCTAGCAGAATGAAAATATACTCTCTAAAGAAGTAACATAAAATATTTTAATACTAAATGAAGTAAAAATATAGAAAAGACCCCAAATAAAGCAACTTTCTGATATGTTTAAAAACACAGATATTTTACCCTGAATATTTATTTCCCTATTAGAATAGTTATTCAGTCAAAATTGGATATCACTTTATATATGAAGTAATTCTAGAATATGAAGCCTTAGAAAGATGAGTTAATTTTGTACCCAGGAATCCTGTGGCTCTTAATCTTCCTATCTTCTACCTATCTCCACTCTTCACCACTCAAAGAAACATACTCCTAAACAGTTTTCACTTATTCAGCTTTGGGAATGAAACTACTTCTCTCTCTAAAAGATACCAGAAAACTGCCACCACTCTGTATTAAGTCTTGACAACCTCTTTTGCCCCAGTTTTCTCACCATTAAAATGGCTATGCTAAAGCTAGAATACTTCTATTATAGAATAAGGTGATGTGCAATGAAATTTGTCCCTTCTAATACCTAATTGTTTATACAAAGTACAACTGTCATATTGTCTATATTAATTTTCTTGTGAATATTTTCTCTACTACTAAAAATATGTTAATCTTCTGAGTGACATGTATTTCATACATTACTTTTCTGCACAATTTTCAATGTGTAGCCAAAATAAGTTTACAGTAATATGAAAATACTTACTTGTGTTTACCAATTACGTTAAGAAACTGTCCTTGCTATCTTCTCCCTTCAAACCCACTTTCAAGACAAAAATAACATCCACTTTTCAGACAAAAATGTAAGCACTTTC